CTCTCTCATCTGATACCCCATACCCCATCACCTCTGCACTGCCTCCTTACTCATTTGTCTTCTTAGCTGTTTCCTCAGCCTAGAAGTTTCTTCCACCGTCCCTCGGGGCACGTCTATACATCCCTTAGAAACTTGCTCAAAGCCCATTGCTTGTGTGAACTCGTTTATCCTATTCTGTCTCCCCCCAGAATTGTCCCTGTGTCCCCCCAGAATTGTCCCCCCTCCCCTCGTCCCCACAGTGTACTGTAATGTATGTGCACCTTCTTTCGTGTCTGTCTCCCTGGGTAGACTGAACTCCTGTGGTCGGGGATGAGTTTTGCTCATTTTTTGTATCCTTCCAGTCTAGGCTAGTATCCCACTTGGTAGGCAGGTACTCAATAAATGCTTGTTCCATCAAACAGTGTCTGCAGCTCTGGATGGGGGCCCCATGGAATAGCTAGGGAGGAGCATGCAAGTCCCTGAGGCACGGCCTACATTTCAGGGGAGGGGAGGTCTTAGAGCTGAGGGAGGGGACAGGCAGCCATCCCAAACTCGTCACAGTTGTACGTCATCAAGAATTGTTTTCTTCAGACTCCACCCGGCTGTGATGTAACCTCTGCCACCCTCCTCCCCACCACTGCCCAGATGGAGGAGGAAGACATCGAGGAGGAGGGGGAGGAGGGGGAGGAGGAGGAGGCTCGACCAGTTCTTCCAGAATGGCAGAGCCTTGGATAGTCTTATCTACAGTGAGAGGGGCAGAGGGAACCCTTTCAACCCAATAAAGAAGAGCTGGGGACTGCCTGAGTGGAACCCTGCTTTTTTGACCTTCAGTTCCTTTGTCCACTCCAGTGGACCTGGAACCAGGAAGTGACCCTTTCTAGTCATGTTTGGGGAGTAAGACGTGGGACTGTTTCTACTTTCCCCATGCATCACAGTATCTATCCTCAGTAGGCAGAGGAGAAGCAGGGCTTTCTCCCTCCCTCCCCCCATTCAGGGAACTCCTATGTAGACCAGGCTGTCTTTGAACCTACAGAATTCACAGAGATCTGCCTCCCCGAGTGCTGAGGGTAGTAAAGGTTTGGCCATTTTGAGTTAAAGGCTGTGATCAAAGGTATGTGAAGAAGAGGGTCTTGTAGAAAGAAGGAAGGAGCAGGCCACGAATCATGCGGCCTGAAGGCTTTGACTTCCCTTTCCTAGACTCAAGTAAATGGCAGGAAATGGTGTTGTTTCAACAGTGTCCTTGTCACAGCCTCAGGTGTGGCTGCTCTGGCCCCTCCCTCTCTGCTTGACCTGGGCCTTGTTCAGCCAGTCTCTGTCTGCAAAGGCTGGGAAGGGAGGGCCTGCTGGACAGAGGGACCAAGCTGGATCTATTCTGGAGACTGTAATCAGCTCCCTCTTCCCTGAGCTCCAGGTCCCCTTATGCACCCGCCGTCCCTCCCTGAGGTCTTGCTTCTCCCCCGAAGAACACCGCTGGGACTTGGGATCAGAGTGTTAGAGGGGTTCATTCTTCCCCATTTCTTTATCTGGTTTCGCAGGTGACATGACTTACCCTAGGTTGTAACTGTCACAGAGCTAGCCTGGATTCCAGGCCCTCTTCCCTGATTCACCTGGCCTCTATATAAGGCAGGGTATTGAATGGCAGGACTGTGGCCCTGGCCCAAGTCACAGGGCCTTGAAGCCCAGTCAGTGCCCTTTGGATTCAGCGTGAGGTACCTATGCATGTGTGAGGCATGGCACACAGTATGGGGGAGGGTGGCTGGTATCTGTAGCTCTTCCTTCATCCTTTGGTCTGTCTTCTCAACCCCCAGCTCTGGCTCCCACAGTAACATTTTTTTCTTTTTCTTAAAAAAGTAGGCTTTTTTCTTCTTTTTTTGTTGTTGGTTCTTTTTTTTTGGGGGGGGGGTCGTTCAAAAATTTTTATATGTGTTTTGCACCAGTGTATATCTGTGCACCACATGAATGCCTGGCACCCACAGATGTCAGAAGAGGGCTCCAGATCCCCTGGAACTGGAGTTGTGGATGATTGTGAGCCACTGTGTGGGTTCTGGGAACTGAACCTGACTCTTCTGTAAGAGCAACCAGTACTCTTAACAACTAAACCACGTCTCCAGTTAATTCTCTGCTGTTGGTGAAATGAGCCAATTCAAGCCAAGTTAGATTAGACTATCTTAAAGGCAGGTTGATTAGGAAGCTGCACTTGGGCAGGTGAGTTCACTGGCCCCAAGGAAAAAGGCCAGGGAAGTTGCCATGGAGATAGGAGAACTAGGGGAGGGAGAGAGAGAGAGAAGGGGGGATATACACAGGGAGAAGAGGAGGAAGAGGAGGAGGAGGAGGAAGAGGAGGAGGAAGAGGAGGAGGAGGAGGAGGAGGAGGAGGAGGAGGAGAAGAAGAAGAAGAAGAAGAAGAAGAAGAAGAAGAAGAAGAAGAAGAAGAAGAATCATCCAAAATCCAAAATGTCTGGATCATATATGGAGGAGCCTCTGGGAGAAGGGCAAGCCCAGCTCCTGGACTGGAAAGTTTAGTGTTCTGAGCAGAGCAGGGTATGCCAGGTAGGGACTGAGGGATGCTGGGAGAACCTGGAAGCCAGGTCTGTTTTGATATGTAAAATATGCACCTCAGTTCCTTGTCCCAGGTCAGCAATTAAACACTATCTTTTCTGTTACTTTTTAATTTTAAGATTTCCTATTTTTATTTTATATGTATGGCTGTTTTGCCTGCATGTCTCTCTGTGTATACCTGAGGACAGGAGAGGGTGTCTGACCCCTTGGAACTGGAATTATGGCAATTGTAAGCTGCCATATGAGTGCTGGGAACTCAACCCTGAACCTTCCCAAGAGCAGCAAGTACTTCTAACAGCTGAGCCATCTCCAGCCCCAACTGTTGCCGTTTTCATTCCTACAGTCTTCTTATTCTTTAGTTGATATTTTTAAAGATTTGTTTATTTTTATTTATACGAGTACACTGTAGCTGTTTTCAGATACACCAGAAGAGTGTATCAGACCTCATTATAGGTTGTGAGCCACCATGTGGTTGCTGGGAATTGAACTCAGGACCTCTGGAAGAGCAGTCAGCGCTCTTAACTGCTGAGCCATCTCTCCAGCCCCTAGCCTTCTTATTCTTATCATTCATATCTCCTCTGTAAAACTAGCTGGCTTTTCACATCCTCAGATTCACCTGTTTTTACCCTCTTAAATGGAGTTTTATGGAGCACCTTAGTACTGTGTTGTCTCAAAGCTTTAAAGGTGCTAAAAAAATAAAATAAAATCAGTGTTTATCCTAAGCCCTGAAGGAAATTCCCGTTTTCTTCCAGTCTCTGAGTAATAACGGCTTTGGCAGTTTGCATAGACCATTAAAAGTTCCTTGTAATATTAAACATGGGACCTCAAAGTTGTTATTTATTATTTACAAACTATTGATATTGTAAGATAGTTAACATGTGACAAACACTTCTAATATTAATATGATTCTAACCACCAAACCAGTCCTGGGAGATGTGCTAGTGTGTTTCTTGTCTACTTTAGTGTGTGTATGTGTGTGTGCATGTGTGTGTGTGTGTGTGTATATGCTGGGGATGAATTTAGAGCCTCATTTATGCAGAGAAAGTCCTTTACAACTGAATTACACCGCATGCCCCCCTCTACTCCTCCATTAATTTCTCCTGGCTTGCTCTTGTTCAAACCTGGCTAGTCTGATGGAGAGAAGTGAGCCTCCAGCAGCAGGGACACCTCCAGCTGGTCTTCAGAAGCTCTGCCTTTGGAGTCACAGAGGAGAGGAAACATCAGGGTTGGGAGGCTGGTAGCTCACAGGGAGAAGGGCCAGGAGTCCTGGTTCCAAGTCCCTAAGCCCTAGGCCCCTATTCCTGGGTTTTTCCTCCATGTCTCAAAGCCTCAGCTGCTAAAGGAACTCAGGTTAGTTGAACTGGCATGCATAAAGAAGGTCATTGACTCTCAAGGGCACTTGAGTGAATGGTGTCCCAGTGTTATAGAGTAACATCCCTGTAAGGGATGGGTATCTGAAGGGAAGGTCTTACTCAAAGGGGCAGAGAGAATAGTGGGTCCTTGCAATAGGAGCCAGGAATCCTGCTTCTCCGAGCTCCGCCTCCTGGTGTGCAGAGTCCTGTGGCTTTCTCCTCACCCCTGAATGTGGTATAACTACCTTTGGGGTTAGTCTCAATAGATGCATCAGAATATCTGGGGCTGGGTGTGGTGGTGCACACCTGTAATCTCAGCACGTAGGAGGTGGGAGGATCAGAAGTTCAAGGCCAGCCTCAGCTAGACAGTGAGTTTGAGGCTAGCCGGCTTGGGCTAAATGAAACCCTATTTCAAACAAGACAAAACTGCAAGTTTGGGAAAGGGGTTCTGAGAATCCTTTGCAAACCTGAAGCATTTACAGAAGCCTGAATCCTCATGGATTCTCTTTCCCTACGTCAGGGCAGGCATGTTCACTACAATTAATAACTGGGCAGACAACCAAGGCATAGGAGGGGGGCTGTCTGACATCCCCTCACCTGCACCCCACCGTTGGTTGCCGAGCCACGGTGGGGAAGCGGGGAAGATGAGAGTCAGTGGGAGGGGCCCAGGCAGGGTAGAAAAGTACATTTGGTTTCCCTCCCGGTTTGGGCTGACTGGGTAAATGTCCAAGAAAGTGAGATTAAAGGGAACTCAGAGGGAGGGAGAGCTCGAAGGAACCGAGTGCTCAGCGCATCGGATACTACCCTCCCTCCATAACTCCCGCCTGCCATCCCATGAGATAGGTAGACTATCTTCATTCGGTGAATTTGAGAATAGGCTTGGAGGCGTTAGCCCACGGGTCTAAGTTCACCCACTTAAAAAGCAGAGGGGTCCGAACTGGAATTCTGTGCACTCTCAGACTCTTAAGTGGTGTTAAGTGGGTTTGGGGCCCCAAGCTGTGGGACCCGGGCTACAAAGCGTTAAAGAACCTTGGCCCTCTCCTCTCTCCTCCCCAGTTCCCTCCTCCCTCCTCCCTCGCCTCTCCCTAGGCTCTTCCGGTCCCGCTCTTGCAACACCAACCCCCGCCACTCTCCCTTCCCCTCCTACCTCCTCTCCCCTCAGCTTTAATTTTCTCCGACTTTTCCGAACTCTGGCTCATGATCGGGCCTACTGGGTACGAGGTCCTGGAGGACCGTACCCTGATCTCTCTCTACCTCTGACTTTCAGCTTCTTTAACCTGAGGCCCAGGCTGCCATCACCCGGGCCACCTGGTCCGATCGTCTTCATTCACCAGCGTTGACAATTGCTGTCCTGTCTCCAGCCTCAATGGGGGAGTGAGAGGCCACTGCCGGCCGGACATGGGTCGCCCCACCGTGCCTGGCCTGCTGCTGTCACTGGTGAGATGGGAGACAGGGGGGAAGGGTGGGCTGCTAGCGAGGCGCGGCCTGGCAGGAGTGGACTTGTACTAGGGGTAGGGATGGGGGCAGGGACGTCTGTGCTTCAGTTTGCCCCCAGGTTTGCTGTGCCCTGAGATGATGGAGACGGCAGAAATCTGAGAGGGAGAGAATTCGGCAAGCCAAGCTGGCAAGCCTGGGGGGGCCTGACAGTCAAGGTCCTGGCCTGTATTGGGCTGTGGCGAGGCCAGCTGCGAGGCCAGTGGAATTAGACGGAGCGGCCCTCTTTCTCTGACAGAGGTTGAACAGTGTGGGGCAGGATGTTGGAAGACTGAGCAGAAGGAGATCCGTTGGCAGGACAAGTTTGGGAGAGTGTGCTTGGAAGTGGACCAGAAACTGGACAAAGCTGGGCAGCCTTCCAGTCCCAGACTTCTCCCTGAGACAGCCTCTGCCCTTCTGCCTCCATTTCTGCTTCCAGACAAGAGGTCTCCCCTGGCCTGACCCTCCTTAAGTAGCTAATACCTCTTTACCTAGCCGATGTATCCTCTCCATCCCTCCCCACTGGCCCAAAGGTCAGGCTCACGGTTTCCAATTCCACGGTTCCAATTGGGGAAGTTGGTTAGCAGCTTGTTCTTGTCACTGGAAAAACATACTTTTCTCAGGCCTCCGCCTCGTGTTCATGTGTTCCCTTGAATTTCTGTTGTATCCAGAATCATTCTGTGTAGATTCTCGGAGGCTCCCTGGCTGTCTGGGTGGGCTGTATCACCTGCACAGTGTCTCTGGGCCCAGCGTTTTCCCCGAGACCTGCCTTTTCTTCATCCATTTTCTCTCCCCATTCTCTTCCAGTCAGTCTCCAGAGCATCCTTACAGAGCTCCTTTTTGTCCACTGTCTTCCTTTCTCTATATCCCTTCCTCTTCAGCAGTGTTCCCAGAACCCTGTACTGTCCACTCTGCCTGATGTCACCTCTCTTCTCCCTCTCCTGCCTCCCAGTCTTACCTCACGACTTGTCAAGACTGTCCCTTCTGATCATCCTCCAGCTCCCCTATCCACATAATTCTTTTCTCTTTAGGGGTAGATCACCTGGATTTAGGGCTCAGCCTAGCACCCTTACCCTCATGAACTTGGGCATGTGATGTGACTCCCCCCTGCTTTTATTTCTTTATTTCCAAAATGTCTATAATGGTCAGTACCTCATAGCTGTTATTTTAAGATACAGTGGATGGACGCGTGTTAAATATTTATTCGGTTTATTCATCTCCTACCTTGCTAGGTCCAACTTCAGGTACTAGGATTAGAGATGAATGAAACCCCTGAGTTTAAGTTGATGGCCCCAAAGGGGAATAGTATGCCCCAAACAGAAAGGACTCAGCGAATGCTTGGCTTCTCTTTTCTCATCTCTAGCGGTGTTAGTCACTACTCACGTCACTACTCATTGTGACGTTAGACGTCACAATGACTGTCCATGTCTGACAGAGTACAGTGGCCAGGCTAGGTAGGAGAGATCCTGATCCAGGTGTGGAGGCTCAGTTGGGGCTGGGGCACTATGAATAGAAGCAGAACCTGAAGACAGGGGACAGGGGAGGCTGCTGACGCCTACACAGGGCTGTCCACTGCCTTATCAGTTCAGAGCATAGTGCCTATGAGGTGTATGGGTATGACAAGGTGCTGAAGTCATGAGGTAGCGAGGGACGAGGCAGAGATGTAGCAAGGCCAAGAAGACTTTGCTTTAAAGAGTTTAAATCCAGGAATGAAAAAAGATGTTCCGAGGCCTTGTGCTGTACCATCCTGGAGGCAGAGCTGGGGGAGGAGGTTGGGCGCTAGGCCAACTGTCTTCTTCTTGTGTAATGGTCTTTGCCTGTCTGCTGGGCTGAGCTTGCCTTCATAGACTCTAAGGCTCACAGTGTGTTATCTTTGGCTCACGGAGAGCTCTTGAACGTATGAGCTATGTTCCATCTCCAGCATCTACCCAGGCCCTGGAAAGGAGACTTTGACCTGTTGACTAATGGCTTAATCAATTAAGGAACAAGAGATTAGTCAAATGGGAATGGACGGGGTGGGGTGGGGGGGTGGAGATGTTGCATAGAAAAGGGGACTTGGACGAGGGAGGAGAGAGGAGTGAATGGGCAAATGGAGAGATGGGATTTTGTGTTGAAGGTGGTGGTCACAGGAGCTGAACACCTCATCTGGGGGGTGGAGTGGCCATGTTGAGGAATGTGACAAAGACAGAACAGGCACTCTGGAGTGTGTGACAAAGAACCTTGCGCCAGTCATGGTGGTGCATGCCTGTTATCCTGGAACTTGGGAGATGGAGCCCAGAGCTCAGATCAAGGCTAGTTTTGGCTATATGAGGAGCTTGAAGCCAGCCTGGATTACTGAGACCAGGTCCTTAAAAAAAACACCAAAAAGAAACAGAGTCATGCTTAAGGACCTAGGTGGGGGCCTGTTTCCCTCCATCTCTTCCTCTCTCCCTCCCTCTTCCTCTACTTCTCTTCTTCCTTCCCTCTATCCCTTCCTCCTTCCCTCCCTCCCTTCTTTCCTTCCCTCTTTCCTTTGCTATTCTCCAAGTAGTCTGTCCAGACTGTGTTCCAAAGAACAGTGAGTTTCTCAGATGTATGTGCTCATGGAAGGATTTATCCATGGAAATGATGTTTGAAGCCAAGCCCTGGAGGTACAGAGGAAGATTCACACCCCAGTGGTACAAGTTGAAGCCTGACCATAGATAAGAAACTATGTAGGTAGCCTCAGCCCTTGCAAAGGTTTGAGATAGGCATACCACTTGAACCAGAAGGTTGATGGCAGCCTGAGCCACATCGTAAGGCCCTGAGACACCACTGTGGAGCAGGAAGGAGAAAAGGCAGTTGCAAAAAAATCAGTGCTCTGGGTGTTGGGTAAAGGGCGGAGAGATTCCAGGAGAAGGACTGACTGATGACTCTTAGGGCTGTTGCAGTTTGTAGCATTGGTACCAAGAAGTTGGTGGTGTGGCATGTAGGTAAGGAGCCTGGTGAGCTCAGCTGGGCCAGGTTAAGTAGGTCGGTGGCTAGCTGAGTGGAAGTGTGGTCGTGCCAACTGGAGCAGCAGTTCACAGTCTTTCTTCTAGCTAATTCCAGCTGCACTGGCCCCTCCGCAGGTCTCAGCAAGAGATGAGCAAATGGCAGAATCGGCAACAGGGCCATGTGCACCGAGTGTGCTCCTGTGTGGAAAGGACATGCACAGCTTCTAAAATATCTCCTGGAGACAAGTGCGTCTCTGAGGCAGGGGGATGCCGCTTCCCTACATCCTTGAATGTATCACCGGCTGGGTCTGAATGGAAGGCACCTCAGTCTGTCCCTCTGGTCTGCAGGCCTGGCTTTGGGTGATGTGACCAAGATATGCTCTGATCTCTTAGCTCATAGGGTTTGTGGTGTGTCTGGGGAGATTGTATCTACTCATTTGAAATAATTATAGTTTCTGATAAGAGTCCAGAGTAGATATGGGCAGTTTGTGTTATTCAACAAGAACAGGTGACTGGGTATCTGAGGAGCTTGGGTGGGGGAACATGAATCATCAGTGGGGGCTTCGTGGGTGGGAGGTAGGACTGTGACAACGCTCTCAGAGGAGGTCACATGGAAGAACTCCTCACCACGTCGGTCTTGACATTAAGTGGAACAAACACATTTTAACGTAATGTGCACATTGATGTGGGGGACGGGCCTAGTGAGTGGGTCCCCAAAAGGTGGCTGGGTCAAGTTTGACCACAGGGTCCCTTTCAGCTTCTCTGCCCTATACTGCAGCCCCGACACAGGAAGTCACACCTTAAGGCCTCCCTAGGCGGAAGCTGAGGGGTAGTTAGAGAGATGCCTTGCCACCTCCTTAGCCATCTCTCCTCAGGCACCCGTGGCTTCCTGCCCCTCCCCTGCTCCAGGCAAAGGCATTCAGGTTTGGGCCAGGACTCTGGACCTGGCTACCCTAGTCTCTTGTTTGCCTTATAACGCAACTGCTGATAGAGTGGCTATACATGGTGCCTATTGAAAGAACCAGAGGGCCCCGGAATCCCTGGAGCCTGTGAGATGAGAGTGCTGCTTCTGCGCCTGCTCCATCTCTTCTGTTACTTTGTTTTTGTTGAGATTCTCTGTGTAGCCCTGGCTGTCCTGGAACTCAGTTACAGAGCAGGCTGGCCTTGAACCCAGTGATGAGCCCGCCTCTGCCTCTCAGAGTGCCTGGAATAATGCCTAGCTCCTTCTAACCTTAAGAGGGCTGTAATTTTTGCTCCATAGCTACTTGGCTTGAGGAGTGCCTATAAAGCCTCAGACCTGGCTCTGTTTCTTAAGGGTTGTCTAGGGAGCTCCCAACCCCAATGTAACTGGCCAGAACCAGGCAGACTATGGGAATGTGGTGAACTAGAGCAGGAGGGCACCCTGGATTTGATTCTTGTTGGAACTGGGGAGTGTCAGGGGGCTGTCGGGAAAGCCCAGGGAGCCAGGGAGCAGGGATCCTGGGATGGGCTTTATCAGCTGAAGACATGTTGTTTAACTTTGAGGAGGAATCAAAGCCAGTCCAAGTCTAAAGGAAGGATGTCGGAGATGGAAGAGGCTGGTCATCTGGGAGGAGCCTACTGACCTGACAGGGAAGCCAGGGGTCAGGAAGACTTTCCTTTGGGATGGGATGGAAGAGGGAGGCATTTCCCCGAAATCTGAGCCCAGTGGGACAGGGGTTCATTGCCTGGCTGTTTTAAGGAAAAGGATGAAGGGCTCTGAGTGGGGGTGGGAGAGAGGGGAGAGACTATGTACTCTGAAGGGAACAGATGGGGTTCCACTTGCTGCTTGGCTTTTCTGCTGACTCACAGCCCTTGAAGAGCTGGGGAAGCTGCAGTTCCCTGTCCACTGTCCTAGATCTCCTCCTCCCTGGCCTGAGTCACTGGGGCGGAGCTGCTGGGAAAAGATTTCCCTTTCCCGGATTTGACTTAACCCCCAGAGTTCTGGAAAGGGAGGGACACGTGACCAGAGAAATCAGGCTCCTTCTCTGGAGGCTCACCCATCACTAGTTGAGAGGCTCCCTCCAAGGCTGTTCTTGGCCCAGAGCCCACCTCTACCTCTTCCTGACACTGCCGGCCTGTTGGCTTGGCTTCATGTTCTCTGATGGGGTTGGAAGTACAGTTGACCTTAGGTGCTGCAAGCCATTTCTTCTTCTGGGAAAGGAACCACACTTTCATGATTGGGAAGCTCTTATCATAACTAACCTTTCCCGTCACTCTGGAAGCCTCTGTGTGTGTGTGTGTGTGGGGGGAGGGGTTGCACCCCTGCCTGAGAGATTGCTGGTGTGCTTGCTTCTGTGTGTGGCTTCTCTGGTCTATGGCTGAGGCACGGGCTTCCTGGCCCCTGCAGCTGCTGTTGCCCAGGAGGTAGCACTTCGAGTAACAGCAGCTGACTGACAGGTGCAGACTGCCTGCCTCCTTCCAAAAGAGCTTCGGAGGTTGTAGGGCCCCCAAAGGCAGCGGGGAGCCTAGGTGGCCATGGGTGGGGAGGTCTCTCCCGAATGTGATCTGATTGCTCAGTTGCTTCTGCATCTATCTTGAAGACCTCCACTCTCTGGACATAAAATGGCTAAGCAGGGGGAGGGGGATGAAAGAAGGAAGGCTGAGGGAACCCCAAAACTGGGGGAGATCAAAGAGCAAAGTCTGAATTGATGCTACGGGGGCTTTGCTCTCTCTACGAAGAAGCTATTTGTACACAGGAAAGCCACTTGGTTGCTTTGAGCTTTGCCAAGATCATAGAACCAGCCTTCTAGAATGTTCTGCTTTGGACTCCTGGCATATCCTCAGCTCCTGATTTGCTGGCTATCTTGATCACTAAGCTCTGGCCGACTCTAGTACACAACACACTCGTCTTTGCTCATACCTAACCCTTGTTGCCTGCCTTCCCTCTCTGTCCTCGCTAACCTGAGCTGTAGTGTGAATTTAGCTGTGAAAGGCATGGATGTGCGGGCAGAGTTGCTGAGCAAGACTTGAAACCCATATTTAGAATTCTTGACTGAGCCTGTGGCTCAGGAGAGGCCCCCTTGGTTTCATTCCCAGCCCCTCTCCCCTCTCCCTTCTCGAGTGCACGCAGATCATGCACAGAGTTCTTCCTTTCGTCTCTGCCCAGGAATGATGCTTAGAGGAGCATCATCCACAGATGCGTGCTAATATCTGGGTGTGTCAGCGTGCATGGAGGTCAACCTCAGGGGTTTTCCTCAGATACCATCCACCTTGCGTTTTGAGCCAGGATCTCTCTCTGGGGTCAGGGCTCAATGACTCTAGCTTGCCTAGAAAGCATCAGGTACCTGCCAGGCTCCTCTCCGTCACTGGCATTACAAGTCCATGCTGCCGTGCCTGGCTTTTTATGTAGGTGACGGAGCCTGCTCTCAGGACCTCTTGTCACACAGCAGACATTTTCCTGAACCATCTTCACGACAGCTCTCCTTAAGATTTTTCCTCCCTGTAGTACTTTTTAAGTTACTATAATGGAATCCAGTCAGGTCTGCAGATCCTACCAGCTCACCTCTAGGGAGTGTCCACAAACAGGCAGTGTGAAACCCGCACCCAGGTATAGAAATGTCCAATGAGCTGTGGCATTGATTATCTGTTGGAAAAACAGGCTGTAACTGAGACAGCCTGCTACGTCTGGCTACATTTCTTTGTAGGGCAGAGGGCACCTCAGTGCTTCTGGTTGAGACCTGGAGCTCCACCGTCAGCCCTGCAAACACACCGGAAAACTATAAACATTCCTGGACCAGCTTTCCTGTGATCAGCATTGAGAACTGCTTCAGGGAACTGAACGGGATAAAATGCAGCTGGGGCCCGAGATCTGATTGCTCGGTTGTAGAAACAAATGCTAGCATACAGAACCACCAGAGACCAGGAAAAATACTAGACTACACAGTGGCCATCTTCTAGGGGAGAATTTCCTCAGGGGAGATGTGAACTTGGCAGTGTGTGTGTTCAGTTTGTTGCTGCCTTTAAGGCCCCACCCCTGACAGTATTTCCTCTTTCTGATTGTTCACTCAGGTGCTCCTGGCTCTGCTGGTGGAGATACACCTGTCAGGGGTCACTGGACTGGTCCCTTCTCTTGGTGACCGGGAGAAGAGGGATAGTTTGTGTCCCCAGGGAAAGTATGCTCATCCTAAGAATAATTCCATCTGTTGCACCAAGTGCCACAAAGGTAAGAGACAGTGGGAGCAGAGAATCCTCTTGAAGTTTCTTTCACTTGTTTCTGATGTTCCCAGACCTTGGTCCCTGGGTGTCCCCTTATTTTGCTGTCCGCCATCCCCCGACTTGGGCTCTACCCTTCAGCTGTTTACTACAGCCTAATCTTCCCTTCCACAGGAACGTACTTGGTGAGTGACTGTCCAGAGCCGGGGCGGGAAACAATCTGCAGGGAGTGTGATAAAGGAACCTTTACGGCTTCCCAGAACCACGTCAGACAGTGTCTCAGTTGCAAGACATGTCGGAAAGGCAAGCCTCGGGATTGGGCCAGGGCTCTAGAAGGTGCATGGTGTGGGAAGGCGTGTGAACATGTATGTGTGTCCGTGGATGTTTGCCAGGGGTCAGGATTTCGAATCTGCTCCTGGGTGTGGTGGGAACATGCATGTACTTGCAAGCCCGGACCGCTGTGCATAGGAGTGTCTATGTTACAAAGATGAACGCACGTGGCAGAGCCGGGGTGTCAAGATTTGTGTGGGAAAAGGGATGTGAGACTCATATGCCATTTCCTTCCCTCTTCAGAAATGTTCCAGGTGGAGATTTCTCCTTGCAGAGCTGACAAAGACACCGTGTGTGGCTGTAAGGAGAACCAGTTCCAGCGCTACCTGAGTGAGACGCACTTCCAGTGTGTGGACTGCAGCCCCTGCTTCAATGGCACTGTGACAATCCCCTGTGAGCACCATTCACCCAAGTCCAGGCCTCTCCCCTCTTCAGGCTTATTCCTCTGTCTCTCCTCCCCATGAGGTAGCCTGTGGGTATGAACTCCTGTGTGGTGCCTGAATCCCACCCTTCTCCCTCCCTCTGGCCCTTAGACTGCAGGCACTCTTCTTAGTCTTGGTGTTTCCTCACAGGTAAGGAGAATCAGAACACCGTGTGTAACTGCCACGCAGGATTCTTTCTAAGCGGAAATGAGTGCGTCTCTTGCAGCCAGTGAGTATCTGCCAAATGCTTGGGGACCAGGGGTGGATGAGCAGCTGTGGCTGAGAGGCCCCTAGCAGGATTTAAGGAGGTATCCTACAGCTGGATACAGAAGAAAACACTACAAGACATCAGACAGGATGTTGGGGGATAGGCAAGAGGGCTCAACAGGTAAAGCGCTTGCAGCAAAAGTCTGGCAACCTGAGTTCAATCTCTGGAACCCATGTAAAGGTGAAAGGAGAGAATAGGGAGAGACTATCAGCTCCTCAAAGTCACCCTCTGACCTACACACACACACACACACACACACACACACACACACGCCATAGCATGCATGCCCCTTCGGTGCTGGGCAGTTAGATACGAGCACACTGTTCTCAATGGCACTCTGGTGCGTCTTACTATTGATGGTATCTTAGGTTTGGCTCGTATGCAGCTCTGCTACTGGTGATTCCTTCCCAGCCTCCCTGACAGACTTCCTCATTCCTGTGGCTCCTCATGGGCTGCTCTTATACATTTGCTTCCAGAGAAGAAACTCTTGAGACTCTCCTAGTTGAACTGACCTGGGGTTAAATCCCAACCCACCCATTTCCTGGCTCTGCAACCTTGGGCAAGTTCTTACATCTCCACGCCTTATGTTTCTTAACCTTTAGGATAAGGAGAGTGGGGGTGGAGGAATGGGTCAATGGTAGAGCACTGGCCTAGCATAATGGGGGCTCAGGGTTGGATCCCCCCCAAACAGAAAGCAAGACCAACAATCTGTAAAACTGTCTGAACCAAAGCTGTCTACTTTCTATTTTGTCCCACTCAAGTTTCATCTCGAAAGAGCTCATGTGCCCACTCCCATGTTTTTTCACCCTGACCTCATGAGGTGGACGAAACCTCCTTTCCCTGTTTGCATATTTCTGCTGAGAACTCAAGTTCCTCTGCTGTCCCCCTCCCCCACCCAGTGTCCTTTCCTCATCCATCTGCCCTGTGATAGCTCTCAATGGCTGCCCCAGGGATAGACATCCTAAAACCTCTCATGCCCCGAGTGAGCTGTCATCTCCAAAGTCAGGTGCTGTAAGCAGCAGTGCTATTGGCTGGGAAGGCCTCCACTTCTTGTATGAGTTCTCTTTGTGGACCTGCGGCTTAATCAGTTTAAAGCAAAGACTGGCTTATTTTTGGCTCCTGGTTTCATTCAGCTTGCAGTGTTTGGCATGGCTGCTTTTGAGCCGGTGCTGAAGCAGGGCATCACCATCAGAGCATTACTGTGCAAGCAAAGTAGCTCACCTCGTAGCAGCTGAGAGGCCGAGAGAAAGGGTGTGGAGTGGGGACCTAACTGTTACTAGTCCCCATGTCCCTGTATGCTGGGACCAAGCCTTCAACACAGCAGGGCATTTCAGATCCATACCCTGGGCCTTTCGATGCTACAGTCCCACCAATGCTACAGTCCCACTGGCAAACACGATGATAAACTCAGTCCACCCACAGCTGCCGTCTACCATGGCTGCCATTTACCATGCCATGTCAGGGTTAAGACCTTGATCCCAGAAGGAGATGTTGTGAGCGCCAAGAGATCCTGGGCCAGAAAAGTGAAACGACTTGTTTCTGTCATGTCAATGACTGGAATGGAATTTTTACTCTGACTATAAATGCCTTTTAAAATTTATTTTTAAAATCCTGCTTGATTGTTGAATCCAGGATCTTTGCATGCTATTCAAGTGGATTCATCATAGCCTCAGCCTTTTGACGGTTTTATTTCATTTTATTTTATTTGTTTGTTTTTTACTCAGGATCTCACTGGGTAGCCTTGGCTGGCCTGGGACTCCCTAGGTAGACCAGGCTGGCCTTGAACTCCTAAAGATCTGCCTGCTTTAGCCTCCTGACCACTGGGATGTGCCGCCATGTCTGGCATTTAAAAAAATACTTTAAAAATTATTTATTTTTATGTATGTGTACGAGTGTTTTACTGGCACGTATATCTGCGTACTGTGTAGATGCTTGGTACTCTCAGAGGCCAGAAGAGGGCATTAGATACCCTGGAACTGGAGTTACAGATGGTTGTAAGCTGCCATGTGGGAGGACGATTATTTTAAATTTAAGATGGCTGACTTGCCCTCTCTCTCCCTTTCCCCTTCTTTTCTTCTCTATTCTCTTTCTGGACAGGGTCTCCTGTTGCCCAGGCTGACTCTGACCTTGCTATGTAACCACGGGTGACCTTGAACTCATCCTTCCTTCACTACCTCCCAAGTGCTGAGGTCACATGCATCTGCTTCTGCGCCTGGCTGTCGTCACAACCTTTTTCTTGGTCTCTTCAGCTTATAAAATGTTGTGTGATGTACTGTTTCATTCCTCTGCATCAGCTCTCGAGGCGGGTTAGATTCCATTACAAATGGAAGAACTTCAGGCAGCCTTCCTACTCACCAGTGCCCGTCTCTTCTTTCAGCTGCAAGAAAAATCAGGAGTGTATGAAGTTGTGCCTACCTCCAGCTGCAAATGTCACAGCCCCCCAGGACTCAGGTGAGGAGGAATGGCTTGGTGCCATGCTCACCATGGCTTCCCTTCACCCCTCCTCCACTTCTCCTCCACCCCACCCCCCAAACCCTAGTCTCTGCTGCTGCTTCACACTGAGCACCCTCTGATGTGTCTGCAGGTACTGCGGTGCTGTTGCCCCTGGTTATCTTCCTAGGTCTTTGCCTTTTATCCTTTATCTTCATCACTTTAATGTGCCGATATCCCCGGTGGATGTTCAACGTCTACTCCATCAGTGAGTGTGGACTTTGGGGATAAAGGTGTTGGAGGAGATACAGGAGGGGGTTGGGTAGGCAAGATGGAGGGAGATGAGGGGTGGCCTCTCTGTTCATGGCTAAGGACTCTAGGCTGAGTGGCCCTGGGTAGTGGGAGGGAAACCATGCTGATATCAGTAATTCTCTTGTCCCTGGGGCCACATAGACCCTGAGGCATGACACCACAAGTCCCCAAGGCCAGGGTGCCACAGTTGAAAGGGAAGTGAAATTCATGACACCTTGTTTCTTTTTTCTCAGTTTGTAGGGATTCAGCGCCTGTCAAAGAGGTGAGAAGAAACGACTCCAACTTCCCTGACTACACCTTCCAACGCCTAATACCCACATTACTTGGAATGAGGGTGGTGGGCTCCTTTAGCTTCCCTATCCCCACCCCCATAAAGAATAAAGCGCCTAAAGGGACTCCTTTTCTTTCCCCCATTAATGCTTTTCTTTCTTTCTTTCTTTCTTTCTTTCTTTCTTTCTTTCTTTCTCTCTCTCTCTCTCTCTCTCTCTTTCTCTTTCTTTCTTTCTTTCTTTCTTTCTTTCTTTCTTTCTTTCTTTCTTTCTTTCTTTCTTTCTTTCTTTCTTTCTTTCAGATGGACGTTGAAGGAGTTGTTACTAAGCCCCTAACTCAAGCCCCTGCCCCAGCCTTTAAACCCACCACCGGCTTCAACCCCACTCTGAACTTCGGCTCCACCCCAGGCTTTAGTCCTCCTGTCTCCAGTCCCATCTTTGGTCCTAGTAACTGGCAGAACTTTATGCCATCTGTAAAAGAGGTGGTCCCAACCCAGGGTGCTGACCCTCTCCTCTATGGATCACTCAACTCCGTGCCAGTCACCATCCCTCCTCAGAAATGGGAAGACCCCGCCCACCCACAACATCCTGACGGTGAGTTGGGTTCGCACTGGGGTCATTACTCCTGGAGGGAGTCGGCAGGGTGGAGGGCGCAAAGGCTGGGCTGCTGCTGGAGGTGTACGGTCCCTGTCCCCAGCTGCAGACCTTACGACGCTGTATGCTGTGGTGGATGGCGTGCCTCCGGAGCGCTGGAGGGAGTTCATGCGGTTCCTGGGGCTGGACAATCACGAGATCAAGCGGCTGGAGATGCAGAACGGGAGCTGCCTGCGCGAGGCTCAGTACAGCATGCTGGAAGCCTGGCGGCGGCGCACGCCGCGACAGGTTGCCACGCTGGACGTAGTGGGCAGCGTGCTTTGCAGAATGAACCTGAGTGGGTGCCTAGAGAACATCCGAGAGGCTCTGAAAAGCCCCGCCCACTCATCCACGACCGTCCTCCCGGGATAAGGCCACACCCTCCACCTCAGGAGAGGGACTTGAAGACGCATTCTGCTAAATGCTGTACTCCCCTGTGGACCTCTTCTATGGGTGAAAAGGAGGCAAGGGTCTCTAAGGGGCAGGCTCTAGCCTTCCTTGGTGCTACCGACTTGGTGTACATAGCTTTTCTCAGTCGCCGAGGACTGCCTGAGCCAGCCAGTTGTGCATGGCAGGGAGATGTGCCATCTGCTCCTGGCCAGCGGTGGGTGCCAAAAACCAGAACAAATGATTGTAGAGGAAAGGCACAATATATCTGATGCCCATTTGGGATGCACAGGGCCCAAGCAAAGCTTCTCAGGGCCTCCTCAGTCGATTTCTGGGCCCTTTCCCACAGTAGTAAGCAATCTTTGTATCAATTATATCACACTAATGGATGAACTGTCTGAGGTAGGGGCAAGCACAGAACAGTGGGGTCTCCAGCTGGAGCCCTCGACTCTTGTAAATACACTAAAAGTCTGAAAATGACCTCTGACCCTGGAAAGAGTGGTCTGTGGATAAGAGAGACTTGGCAGAGCCCAGGATGTGAAAAGTGGCCTACAAAGACCAGCCATCCTGCCAGCTAACAGCTGACTCCACCCGATGGGTACCCATGCTTCTCGCGTCTCACCCTCATCCAGTGCTAACCAAACAGCCATGTTTCTGGGCACTTTTATGTGGGGCTTGGGGGTTTGTGAGACAAAATGTTCAGTTCTTGACCTCCAGAGTCCTCAGAGCAGGAGGTGCTGCCTGGGCTCAGGCATGGTTTGAGGTGGATTCTTGAGGTAGAGTCCAGGGGGAGGGGGTGACCAGCACTCTTGGGGAGACCATTCCTCTAGGAGATGGATCAAAGGGCTTTGGCTTTCCTCATACTTCTCTGTAAAGGAAGGAGACAAATGCATTATTAGGTCAAGGTCAGGCAACGAGTGGGCTGATGGGCAAAGCAGAGTGCCCTCCCCTGTGTTGGTCCCTGCTCCGAACAGCCTACCTCTTAGAACGGCCCCTCACTCCCTACTGCCCTTCTGTCCCATAGTAGTTTCTGCACTTACGATGTAGACAGGGGCGTGTCCAGCTGTATGACGTGGGGGCCCCTCATTCTCTGCAGTTGGGCTCGTGTTAGCCTCCGGGGCTTGCCATTTTCCGGTTCTGGTTCCGAGGCTCCCTCGATCCTTTGGCTAGCCAGCTCTTCCCTGATCTCCCTGAGCATGTCCTCAGCCCGCAGCGGGCGGGGGCGGAGTCCAGGGGATAGAAGACTCTCATCTTCATCTGAGGATTCCCAGGGGCTTTCCCCTGCAGAGTCTGTATGGGTGGGAGAGTGAGGGAGCGGACTCCGACGTTGTGCCCGGTGTAGGGTTTCTACCACCACATTCCCTGGTGTCAGGGTCTCATCTTCCTCCTCGGACCAGGTTGGTGGGGCTCTCCTGGGTAGACTGCCCCCTCTTAGGATCCCTTCTGGCAACTCCGGGGCACTTCGTCGCTGGGGAGCTTGGGGGTCAGGAGGCTGGGGGCGCAAGGGAACGTCTCTGAGTTCCAGGGTGGAGAAGGTGAGGCGAGGATCCCTACGAAGAGCCTTGGACCGAAGCCTGTTCAGGGGAGAATGAGCGTTCATCGGGGAGCTTGGAATCAAGGTGCCATAGCCAGAGTCTGAGGTATCGTCGGGCACGGAGGGCGTGTCTTCATCTGTGTCTTCAGTCACCACCAGGCGGGGGATTACTGTGAACTCCAGAGTCCTACAGTTAAGAGCAGAAAGTCAGACTCAGATGCTGAGGATCAGATTGAAGGCTGAGAAGCCTCTCCTATTACTGCATTCAGAAATGTCTCCTCCTCCAAACTTACTGTCCTCTCTCAGTACATGACAATGATTGGCTTTCTCCACCTCACTGGTTAAGATTGTGTTCCATAAAAGACCTTGGGTACACTTTTCATACAGCACCTATATTGAAACTGGAATGTACAGTCCCTGTGCAAGGTCATTAAATTTATGAAGCATCCCATATTCGAAAAAGAAAAAGACCTTGGGGTAAGCTGGGGGTGGTTCCTCGGGAGCAATGCCGAGAGTTCAAGGTCAGCCTGACTTGCCTCAAAAACAAATAAAAGCTCGGTTGTGTCTGAGCTACTTAGTCCACAGCACCTGGTTCAGGCCTCCTATTGGGCAGCTTGCCTCCTGTTTGCTGAGTGGGACCACTGGCGGGTCATTTTCTCTAAAAGCTTGTTGCTAAGTATCATACTAGATGAACCTCTTACACTTCGGGGGTTGGAGCTTGCTGTGTTCTGAGAATCCATATCTGCCTTCACTCTGGAGCCTGCTCATCACAGGGAGGTCACTCGCCGTGTCTCTGTTTCCTTTGCCCGGTGCCCACTCTGTGCCACGGATCCCTTCACATGGTAACTCCCAACCTGTTGCACTCTCAGCTGTCGCTCACGTTCTTGTTCTCGCACCAAGTCCCCCGAGGCTCTCTGCTCACCCTTTCTCAGCCTCATAAGTGTCTCCTCCCTCCTCCTACCTCATCCCCCTCCTTGGATAGTGATGGAGTCTTACCTCCCCTCCGTACTGCTCTGAGAGTACTCCGGGGAAGGGGAAGGCGTGGAGGGCCGGGTGCTCGGGGACTCCCTGCCCTGGTCTCGATAGAGGGCCAGCAGCTCTCTCTTCTGTTGAACATACTCCTCAGCCTTCAGCTTCTGCAGAGTGGTCTGGGGAGGGACTTTCATCATTATGAGCTCTCGTTTATACGCTGGACGCTGTTTACCTATGGTATCTTTGGTTCTCCTAGCTCCCTCTGAGACACAGGTGTTTCCATTTCCTTTCCTACTGAGAAAGGGAACTAGAAGGCTGGGGACCACCACAGGAGGCATTCTTCCAGGAGGGGACACAATGATGCCAAGATTTGGTGGCACCAAGCAGCAGAGCTGGTGCTGGAGGGAACTGGGCTGGACAGAACATCCCCTTTCCTCCGCTCTCATGCCCCTGCTTCCACACCTCCAGGGAAGCCCTCCGATGCACCTCTTTTAGGACTCTCTCCCTGACCAAGAGGATGCTGCTGCAAGGGCTCTGGACCAGACTGGTCCTCAGGTTACTCTTTGCGGCTCATTGCTCCCTCATCACTTTGGCCTTTATCCTGAAGGAGGGAGGAGCAGGGGCAGGCTTGTCCTAGGCTGAGGACTCTCTTGTCTCTTAGATGGGTAAGAAAGGAAAGCTGTCCCAAGATGGAAGAGAAGAGGACTCATGTCTGTGTCCCTTCTGAGTTTTCATATGTGCTAAAAGCAGCGGCAGCTGACAGATATCTTGCAGAGGACCTCCATACACACGGGGCGCTTTGTCACACAGCACCACCCTCCAGAATGGCGAGCATGGCCATGGGCTCATCTTACAGATGCAAAGACTAGGTTTAGACGCAGCTACTTGCCAAGGCGGCTCTGGTGAAGAGGAGAACAGGGTGAGTGTATGCTCTCTAAGTCTTAGTAGCTCAGTGACTGCAAGCTTTTTGGAAGCCTTGAAGGACTTTGGGTTACCACAGGAGGTTAATGTTGTGGGAGCTGAGCCTGAGGAGACACAAGGTGAGTGGTAAGTTGGCATGAAGAAGCACAGAAGTGGCTGCCGGGGGCAGAATGGACACCGATATTCTTAGGTGTGGCTAAGAAAATACTAAAGCACCTCCCAGATGGTAAGGAAATGGCTGAAGGCTAGGCTGATCCCAGCATTTGGATCATGGTGTATCCACTGGAGGCAGGCAGATCTCTGAGTTTGAGGCCGGCCCAGTCTACATAGAGAGTTCCAGGCCCATCAGAACTTATATAGTGAGGCCCTACCTCAAAAAGAAAACAAGAGGGGCTGGAGAGATGTCTCAGAGATTAAGAGCACTGGCTGCTCTTCCAGAGGTCCTGAGTTCAATTCCCAGCAACCACATGGTGGCTCGTGATCATCTGAAATGAGAGCTTGGTGCTCTCTTTGGCAGCTAAGGTGCTACATCTGGCATAGAGCAGGGACCTCAAGTGTCCCCCAACTCCATACAGTGCTCTCTCTCTGACTGATGCAAGCTTATCCTGATGGCTCCATCTTATCCTTTCTCAGAAGCTTGGGAAGTGAGAGCCAGCAGCCCTGGGGCTTCCTAGGCTTCTCCAAAGCTTCAGAGCATGAGGGTGGCTGGGTCAGGATGAGACATGTTGGAGGAGGGTTGGGCAGGCATGGGAAAATGATATCAAGTGGAGAGTCCTAACAACGCTCCTTTCCCTGGCTTCCCAGTCACCGAACCAGAGCAGAGGATGAGAGCCAGCACACGGGGCCAGTTTCTGCGTCTCCTCCCTCTTCCCCAGTCTTCATCTTTATGCTCAGTGTGAAGTTGGGAAAGGTACAAGCAGAAAATGGTGGGCTGCATGGCCCGTTGTAAGGAGAAGCCATGCCCTTTGCCACACATGCCCCAAGTTCGACTTTGTGATGGCTACTGAGGATAGGGTTAATGTGGAAGGAAGGGAGGAGAAGGGGAAGTCGTTAAAGACTATCTGCTGACATCGTCTTTGCTTGCCCTTTTCCCTCCCCAGGAAAGGCAAGAGTTAGGGAACCCCCCCCCCCGGGGGGATGTTGGGTAGCAGCGCCCAGGGCTTTCAGCTGCCTCAAAAGCTTCAGCGGGGAAGTCTTCTTGGCTACAGCAAGAGGAGAGTCAAGACAAGCAGTATGGGAAGAAAGATCTAGAGTGTAGTTCCCCACAAAGCTGAGGAAGGAGGGAGGGAGGGAAGGCTCCCAAGCAAGACTCCTGTGGAGAATCCGCAAGAGAGAAGACCTCTTCTCTCTGCAGTTCATTGGGGTTACCACATTCACCTGTCTCCCCAGTACTGCATGACAGGAGAGCTTTAGAAGATGCTCTTTGCCTCTCAGCCGCCAACACCAAAGCCTTCCAACTCTGCACTGCCTGCAATATCTTCCTCCTCTTCCCCTTCTTCCTCCTCCTCCCCCTTCTCCTCTTCTTCCTCCTCTTTTTCCTCTTTTCTCTTCTCCTTTCTTTCTCTTCCTCCTCCTTTCTCTTCTTTGTTTTTCTGAGACTGGGTCATTCTATACAACTCAGATCCAGAACTTGCTGTATAGCCCAGGCTAGCCTGAACTCACAGTCCTCATGCCTCAGCATTCTGAGTGTTGGGATTATAGGAGTACTCAACTAGTTCACCCCTTTGTGTCACAATGACACACTCTTGTAGAACTCCCAGGAAGCACAAAGCCTCATGCCAAGCCACTCACTGGCTTGCTAGCTATCACTGTACCTTCCCAGATGAAGGTCAGGCTGAGAAAGGCAAGTAACTTGCCAAGAACACAGGGTGGGCTCTGGACTATCTTCTAAATCTTGCCTTAGTTTAATTGGCCCCACTTTCATTTCTTGGCCTCTACCTCTGAGGGTTCTCAGTTCCTTTTCCTCCTCTCAGCCACTGAGTCTCCCCACCCCCACCCACAAGCTCATTTTCTGTTAAAGCGTAAGCTACCTCTGTAAACCCTCAAGGAAGCTGCCTCATTAACATTTCTGTAAGAGGAAGAAGAAAAAGTCTGAGCTCTGGGCAGTAAAGGGACTAAGAGATGCTTTGTCACCCTTGCGTGTGTGTGTGTGTGTGTGTGTGTGTGTGTGTGTGTGTGTGTGTGTCAGACTTTGAGTGGCTAGGAACCTCACTGTAAGTTTGATCACAGAGGAGAAATGACACCCCATTTGTCACCCTGCAGAGCCTATCAGGAGCTGTTATTTTGTGTATGAACACTAGCAGGTTTTACTGGTTCCCAGAAGCTCCAAAGGGAGAATGTGGGAGAAGGCTTATTCTAAGATTGGGAACCAAAGGAAGAGGAGAAACTTGAGAGGATGGAGTGGTAAAGGAAAGTTTACAGGTGTGGTGATGTCAACACAACTATGCACATACAATACACCCACCCACAAATAAATAAACAAATAAATAAATATACATATTCCTTCCTGGGGCTTGGGGTGGAGTTCAGGGATGAAGTACTTTCCCAATATAGCAAAGCCTGGGTTTGGTCCTCAGCTTGTCAACAACCAAGACAGTTTCTCAGGCAAATCTCCAGCTCTCTTCACCATTCTGCTCCCACAGTGGGTTTGCCTGGAGAAAGCCAGGTCTGAAACCCAATCCCCAGAAAGCATAAATGTGACGGCTCAGTCAACTTCAGGGTCTTGTTCATGTTAAGTATGTGCTCTCCCACTGAGCTACACCCTAGCCCAGCTTGTGTGTGTGTGTGTGTGTGTGTGTGTGTGTGTGTGTGTGTGTTTAAGCCACTGAGTTGATAGTAACGGATGCAGCTTTGCTGATGTCTCTCTTTTTTGAACTCCTCTCCTTTTGTTGCTTCAGTCTGCCTCACATCACTACCCTGTGTGAAAGCTTCACTGGCTCCATATTGTCTATAGGACAAAGTTGAAGTTCCTAGCACGGCTCTTAGAGACGGGCATGATCCTGTGGTACCACCTCCTGAACTCATCTCCTGGCTGCATCCACCCTTATACTTCACACCCTAGCAATGCCAAGCAAACAGCCTGCTCGCTTCTATACATGCACACTCAGGTGCACACACCCGCACGGTGATGTACATACACCATACACATAATACACACACATATGCATAATATACACACACATAATATACACAGTCATAAGCATATACCACACACACACACACACACACAGACACACACACAGACACACACATAGACACACACACAGACACATACACACACAGTGGCAGGGGGAGGGTAAGAGAACATGGTCCTGACTGAGCTCTAGATGTTTGTATGACCTTGATCCAGTCCTGTTCCCTTCCTATAAAGTGAGAGATGGGGCTGGCTTAACACTCCCAGTGCGGTGCCTTTCTCAACACACATGACTGTTTCCTGTTTCTAGATCTTTGTATTAGAATTCCCTTCTGCTCTGATGTCTGCTCTACCCTCAGCTCTGATGCAAAGGTTTCTCCCCCTAAACTCCCTCAGCACCACTGCAGCCCACTGGGACAGAAGGCATGGCCCAGCCCTGCTGCTGTCTTTGCTATGCTTGCTTCTGTTATTTGTACCCTGATTACTCTAATGAGCTGCAGCACAGATTCCTGGAGGGCAGGAATGGTGTTTTCATTCTTTTCTGATTTCTTGGCACCTAGCACTAGTGCCTATTCCCAGAAAGCGCTCCATAGGTGTCTCTGAACAGAAGATAAAGTTTAGAACTTCACCGTTTCAGTGTGGGGAAACCATTAGGGTGTACCACGTGTTGGGTTGTCTCAGTAGCTGCCTTGGTAGATGACCACAGGCTTTCTCAGACTCTGAAAAGCATCCGACCTGCTGCAGACACCTGCACCAAGCCCAGCCTCTCTGCCTTCCTTCACCCCTCTGTGATGTCAGTCCTGAGTTCCAGGGGTGCCTACCCCACCCCACCCCAAGCCTGACTGCCACCTACCTGAGCCCGCTGGGTCTTCTCCAACCACTGTGCACGCTCCGTTGAACTGGGACAGTGCACAGTGAGAGCACTGGAGACACACTGGAATTCAGTGAGGTGGATCAGCAGGAAGCTGTCTGCACGGAGAAGAAGTTCTGCTTTAAGGGCTGGGCCTTATCTGACCCCAATCCCGACCCTTCCTCCTCTGGAGAAGAGACATACTGGGGTCTCGTAGTGGCCGGCACACGAGTTTCTCCAGCATGAGGGGAGGACGGATGACCTTGGCTCTGTCCGCCTTTCGTTGAGGTTTGGTTACCAGAAGCACGTCAGAGAAGAGGAACAGGTACACATCCATCTGCAGGTAGGGGTGCAGAAGAAAGAGGCAGGGTCAGCCAGAGTCAGGGGAGGGGCTTCTCGGGGGATCTGGCTCTTTTGCCTGTGAGCATAGGGACAAGGTCAGAACTGCGGAGTGACCAGCTGGAAGAGAGTTAACTTGGTTCTGTATCTGATTTATAAGCAGGGAACAGGGTTGGATGAAGGTCAGACAAACAACTGGCACTCAGGCTGGACCAGATCCATGGCCTCTTGACCAGTCCTCCACACTTTCTCCCAGTGCTACCTTGTGTTTAGTGTGTGTGTGTGTGTGTGTGTGTGTGTGTGTGTGTGTGTGTTATATGTACGTGACATTATGGATGGTTCCACTCCAGTGTGCGCATGTGCAGGAGACAGCAGGTCTCTGGATCTGTCACATTTTACGTTATTGCTTTGAGATGAAGTAGACAGGCCAGAGAACTCTCTGGATCTGCTTGTCAATATAATGGGGTCCAGTGCCCTCTTCTGGTATTTCTAAAGACATCTACAGTGTACACATATACATCTACAGTGTACACATATACATCTACAGTGTACACATAGACATCTACAGTGTACACATAGACATC